GGGATTTAGCTCAGCGGCAAAAGCGCCTGCCTGGCAAGCACAAGGTCGTGAGTTCGGTTCCCGGTACCAGAGAAAAACCAAAAAAAAAAAAAAAGAATGCAAAGGGTGAAATCACAACAGATCCTGCAGAAAACCATGAGATCATTAATATGTACTTCCAGGACCTGTATTCTAATAAGATAGAAGAGATGGACAGATTCCTAGATATATAGGAATTACCAAAGATGAATCAAGAAAATAAAAAAAATTCTAAGTAACTCAATATCAGTCAAGGCAATTAAAGATGTAATTAAAAACTTACCAATAAAGAAAAGCCCAGGCCTTAACAGATTCAATGCTGAATTCTACAAGACATTTAGAGAAGACCTAATGCCACTATTTGTCAAACTCTTTAATGAAACTGAAAGAGAAGCAATAGTCCCAAATTCATTCCTGGAAGCAAGTATTACCCTGATACCAAAATCAGAGAAAGACCAGCCAAAAAAGAGAACTACAGGCCAATCTCCCTAGCACAGTGTGGAATACAGAGGAAACTTAACATAGTCACTACCCTAAAAAAAATTAAGATGGATAGGCAAGTGAGTATTGAGGCAAACCTCCTAGTTGCTAACGCTTGTAGGAATTCACTGGGAGGTCGCAGTTGGTAGACCTCGTGGACTGTGGGTTACCCCTTAAGAGCGTTCCTTATGACTCCCATTTATTGCACCTCCTAGGAGCAGTATATTTTCATCCATGATGCCCTGCTGGAGGCCATTCTTGGGAATGAAACTGAAGTATCTTCAAATCAGCTGCATAGCTATGTTAACAGCATCCTTATACCCGGAGGAGGAGCAAAGACACAACTGGAGAAATAATTCAAGGTAGTGTTTTGACTAACTGCTTTAGTATAAAGCAAAATAGCAGAGAAATGCCCTGGAGTTTGGGGTCTTAATAGCACTAATGTCAGCTTGATATGAACCTCTCCTCATTTTCCTTCTCATTACATTTAAGGAGTACAAAACCACCCCCACCAGTATTATTAACATTCAAGTAGAGAGTACCATGCTATTTCTCCTCCTGAGCAGTTTATTGTTTAACCCAAACATTAACATCCTCTAGCCACAGTGACATAAGACTTGGAGTCAGTGGTAGTCAAAAAAAATTGTCTTTTTTCTAGACTATTGGATGATACCTTTGTCAAGAAGGGTTATTTGTAGACAGGTTGTCCTCAGAATACACCTGTTTCAAAAACTATTGTAGAAAATAATTTAAAATGCCTTTTAAATGCTACTAAATCCAACAGTACTCTAGGAGAGTTAACTTTTCCTGAAATAGTTATTCTTTTTCTTTGATAGGGGCATGAAGAAGTTCAGAGGTAGTTAAGGTCCATATGGATTAACTGACATGAAGTTGACAGAGTATAAGGACTATTAAAGCAATTAAGACTGGAAAAGCTTGAAGAATTGTAACTTTCAAAAGCTGTCTTTCCAGTAACAGTGCTTTCATATTTATTAGTTTTTCATTATCTTTTCAATTAAATTTTTTTGGATATGATTGTATATGTCGGTAATTTCCCATTTTGTGTCAAGATTAGATGGATGAGAAAAATGAATGCTAGTTTACTTTTCGTGGTAAAATTTCCCATAAATTCTTCATTTAAAGTTCTACTAAAGAAACGTGACTGCCAAAAAAACTTCACCAAGAGATAGAAAATGAAAAACACATTAATTTCACTGAGTTTAGTCCTAACAATAATTTTAAATGTCTTGTTCTCCTGTTAACATCCTAGCTACTCTAAAACCTTTGAAGATAACAATGGCAATACACACTGCTCATTTTAAATGTTTTAAAATGAGTTCGACATTTCTTAATTCTGCCCTTTTTTCCATTTCTGCAGCACAGATTCAACCAAAACTTTTGGATTCTATGGGAAATTTCACCATGAAAATTTAAACGGCACAGATTCACCTCATTTGAAAAATTACTTGCATATAAAATAATGTGCAAAGAATTCAAAAGACTTATTAAAAGTATTCCTAATTAAAAAGGCTATAATCCAAATGCTCCAAAATCCAAAACTCTGAGTATGAATATCATGCCACAGAATGTTCCATACCATGAGATTTTATTTTATGCACACAATTATTAAAAATAAGTATAAGATTATCTTCAGGCTATTTATATGTGAAACATAAATCTGATGTCTAGACTTGATTTCCATCCCCCAGATAGCACATACTATATATGCAAATATTCTACTTTCCCAAAGAATCTGACACTGCTGGTGCCAGACATTTGAGATAAGGGATACTCAGCTTCTTTGTTTTTGTTTACACATATTTTGATAAATCATTGAATAAATCAGTCTATTCAGTCGGTAGCCAGGCATCTGAGTCTTTTACAAGCATTAAACACCTCACAATTCAAATGGAAGAAAAAACAATTAGAAACTCCAAAAATGAAAATTACCTCTAGGACCATGACAATATCTTATTGCTCACTATCCCCATATATATTAATATATACCACCCATATGCATCAACATAAAATAGTATATTGACAAAATGGTTCAACCATGCTACATATATATAAGAAAAATAACATCACTATTGGGCCTGACCATTCATAATGGCTTTAGAACAATCTCGGTTAAGTGGAACAGTACTAAGGACCTATTTCATTATTTTTTTATCTTCTAAGAACATCATTAACTCCTAATAGCATTAAACAGTCTTTTCTAGTGTAGGCACTCTAGCATCTTCTTATAGTCAAAAATCGCAACAGCAGTAATAACCTGCAACAGAGAAATCCACATAATTCAATGCATATGGTACACTGGGTACCTGTATTCTAGGAGCTTAGCGCCTGACAGAAGTTACACAAAGACACAATGAAGATCACTAACAGAAGTACCTGTAGTGAGGCATAAGAGCATACTTTGGCATCCCCAAAAATGTCTTTGTTTGGTAGTAAGCTGATTATTGGTATTTGTTCCAAATTGTGAAGCAAGTCCTATCTATTATGACCTTAAATGCAGACTCAAATGTCACTTTTCTTTTAGCTCATCACACTAATGCAACCTATATGGAATGTGTCAGTGCTCAGAAGGAGTGTAACAAAGAAAAGAACAGAAACTCTTCAGTTGTACCATGTAAGATCTTAAAGTCAGTTTGACTAGGTTCAGTGTGTTAATATGTTGTAAATAGGCTTCTATGTATTATATAAAGAAGCTGCTAGTAGCAAAGGAAAATGTTATGTTTAATGCAACTAAGGGAATTTGAATATAATGTGAAATCTAGCTTCAGTTCACCTCAACATGCAAGGATGTGCTTCTTTCTACCATATTTCAATTTACAAATATTACTAAATTTGTCAGCACTGTGGCATTAACACTTCTGGATTAATCTGTATAACTGGTATCAGTGAATTATTGTGGCTGTGAAATCCATGATTGGTAGTGACCCTTATGAGGACTAAACAGAGGACATTGTGTATGCACTGCAGACACAGACATGGGTGAGCACTGGAGAGATATATCACTACTGAGAAGGCCACTGTTTTCTAAGACCTTCATGGGAAAGATAGGGATAATGGCTTGAAAAAAAGAGCAAAGTACAACACATTGGTGTTAAGTATATATCAAATTGAAGTCAGAAGTTATCTGAAACCCAACATGTCTGTAGAGAGTATATGCTCAATGATTTGCTATGAAAACCTCTGCCACAGTAACATTTCATTTTTATACTGCCTGTGGCCTGGATATGTCCAGCACAATTTCATATTACACTCTGCCTTAGCTGATAGCACTTTAGCTTGCTTAGACATATTGTATAGGTAAGTCTTAGGAGACAGTGCCAGGGATATATGTTATTCATTAAGTAAATTCTTGGAGAGGGCTGTTGGTTTCTTTGTATACTAGGTGAATGTACTGGGTGAGTGAGTTTTGCACCTTTGCCTAAATAAAAGGAACAGATTACATTAATGCTTCTTACATCATGGTGAGAGTCAACCATTAATCATAAATAAGCCCAACTAAACTGAAAGGTATTAAAGAATAGATACCATCTGTGTGACTGATTTCATTCTGAAATAATTTCTTAATGGGTCATATTGAAAGTATAGAGATTTCTTATTTTGAAACTTTTAATGAAAGATTCCCAAAGAGTAGGAGTATAAAAATACCTAAATGAAGCAAAATGCCTAAGGAATTTATTGTTAATTCCTTTGATAAATGTTGAAATTACTGTTAAGTAAAAATAGCGACAGTGACTTGAAGTAAGTTGCATGTGAAGAGAAAACTGTTTGCACAGTGTTAGCAGAAGTACATCTGAAAATTACTGAATGCCTTTCTCAAGTACTTTAGTGTGGTCAAAACAATGCTGTTTTGTTTCATAAATTTATTTTACTACCACAAACTTAGAATAAATACATAATCACTGATTTTTCCTATTCCCAACTGAAGGGATATTACAGGAGCAATGAATTTATTACAACCCAGCATCCTCTGCCACATACTATGAAAGATTTCTGGCGAATGATTTGGGATCATAATGCACAGATCATTGTCATGCTGCCAGACAACCAGAGCTTGGTAAGTACGGCACATCTACTGTATATTAATGAGCCCTTGAGGCTAGGAACGTTTAGTGCTGCAGGTACCTTGCCACAGGGCTAAGTGTCTGTATAGCTTGGGAGGGAATGTAGATTTGAAGATTGAAGATTATACAGAGTCACTTCACAGAATTACAATACCATCTCTGTTAGTTCCCTTACCTGAATATCTGGTGTGTTCATATGACCTTTACTTTATTTTGGCATGTGGTAGAAGGTTTTGAGATAGTTCTTTTTTATTAATATGACTTTAGACTGACTTCCTATCTGCTATATGTTATTTTGGACAAACATGGTTAACTGTTTGTACCTCACAGGTACTATTACTGCTTCCTTTAATAGCTGAGAAAACTGAGGGAACTAACTTGCCTGAGAGCATGCAGAAACTACTGCAGCAACTCAGCAAATCTTAAGGAAAAAAAAAGCATTGTTTCTCTGGTGTGAGAAACCAAATGTGTAAGTAAGGACCAAAATGTCTATTAGGTATTGTGAAATAGGAATGAACTGTTCAAATGGGGAGGGAAACAAAAGGGGGAAGGAAAGAAGGGAAAAGAAAAATAAGTGAAAAAAGGAAAAAAATAGAAACAACACTTTTGTATATGGGGAGGGAAGGAAGGGCTGACGGGGGTGTAGGAGAATGGGAAAAAAATCAAGTTATATCATGTGCCAGTACAAATTCTCTATGATGAATGTGACTATTATGTATATCTAAAATGTACCAATAAAATCTGATTAAATAAGAAACACTGGAGCCAGGATGTGACCACAGTCATCTGTGTCCAGAGTCCATGCTTTTAATCACTTTACTATAAATGTTCCACTCCACAACACGTGAATGTTTTTTAGAAAAAGTATTTTATCAGAAGTACTGATAATGTTTCATTGTTTTTTTATTTTTATCCCATAGTCAAGTCAGACACGCTGCAGGCAAGTGATAGGAAAGGCTGTTCGGGTATAACCTATACAACTCTTTAAGACTTCGACGAAACAACTGTGTCTGTCCCCTGCCTTAGTCCTTCTCTGTTGAAGTCTTTGAACTATGTAGGAATCTGTGGGCAAATTTATGAAATAAGCTTGAATGAACTGCATGCATCCTTAAATTTCAGAACTAGCTGGGTCTTGAAACGGTACTGTGTGAACACGTGAGCCCATAAAATAAAGGTGAAAACAAAAACAATGAGACTCTGCCTTCATGAGTGTCAGAACGATAAGTATTTTAGTGGGGAAGGAACAGCATGTGATTGAACCCCTAGTCTGGATGACATGCATTTGACTGTGTGCCCAGTCAGTAGGAACTTCTTCACTCTGTCGCATTCTGCTCCAGCTTCAGATACCAAGGCTGCTTCTGTATGATGGAATGGCAACCAAGTGCAGACTCGCAAGCTAAACGCTGGAGTGAAAATTTTCAAATTAGCTGGCAACAAGGGCCTGTTCTCTTTGGCATGAGGAAACTGGAGGCATTCAGGGTTGTCAAAAATGTTCATTTGTTGAATGAGTCAGTATTTTGTTACTGTTACCTAACCCCAGAGGATAGCCACCATAAAGCCTCCACAAAGGCGCTCATGTCTGTGGAAAAGGCTGGAGGGAG